CTATTTTTTACAGTAAAAAGGTGGTGCAATTAGGGTATAACTCAACTAGTTTTCAATTAGTTGAGTTTTACTCACTCTTTTGTCCCATGAGTATGAGAGCTTGTGATGATACAGAAATCAAACACATAACAGCGTCAACATTAGGTGACATGAAAGCAATTGTAGCTTTGTGCATCCATAATTTGCCCTGACTTAAAACCCATGATTAGGAAACTGCAACCATTGCACTGAGACTGTCCTTAGGTTGAATCCATGATCATTTCGCAGTACAAGTATCAATTTTCAAGATTTTCATTGGCAAGAAAACATGTCAAAAATCAAATGCACTACAATAGATCATACAATTTTACAAAAGGTGGCACACTGTAAAGCTGATGGGTCGTTCAACTAAAACACCAGGGAAGAAAATGGGGGACCATTATTGTTTCAATACTGGGATTAGATTGATCAATTTTCCAGCTTCTTTTTGAAAGTAGTTTGTCTTTGTTGCCAGTTCTTTCCATCCAGAAAGGCCATGCTGGTCTTTGTCCATATCTTGCTGGGGTTAGCACAGAGTCTTTTTCCATTCTTTGTGGTGAATCTTTTAAAAGTGAAAGAAAATATTCAGCACATTTGTATTATTTACTTGTTTAAATAAAGTGCAATGTTAAAAGTATGACAAACTATGATCAGTCATTTTTTTTACTTACACCACTGAAGGCACAGAACATAAAGATGGATCATTTTGTTCATAGTAACTCCTCAGCAATGTTCGATGAACCTTTGTTCTGACGTTTTTCAGACAGCATTTAGAGATGCGTCCTGGAAAATTGAAATGGAGGAATTTTATATCAAACAAAATTAAAAGCTGAATTATTTTTATTTAATATGGAAAGGTTGATCTTACCTTGAGCTGAAAAAGTTGGTGACATCAAAGTCACCAGTAAGAACAGGATGGTGAGACTCATCATGGAGAGTAAAGATGTTCAAGGTGACCAGCTCAGCTTAATTTTATTCATATAGTGTGCAATTGAAATGTTTTGCACCACAAATATATTGTTGGAAAGAGGAAGCATGAAGCCACCTCGTCAAAACTTTACAGCCAGATCCTCCTCCCACCACTTTTCGTTTCCCCCAAAATAATTTAACACAAATGACTAATACTGTTGAGATACTTAAAAAAACTTTTTGAGAGGTATATCTTCTACTTTTGTTAAATATTTTTTAGAGAAAGACTTTAATGTATTGTCAAGACACATGTTCAAACCTCTGAGATTAAGGTTTCAAAGCTTCATTAGAGAACAGTACATATCCATCCATTCATTATTCAACACACTTATACCAGTGAATAGGAAGACTGATGGAGGCATATTGAGGTTACAACAGGAATAAATCCCATTAAAAGCTGCCAAACTACTGTAGAGCTTCACCTTTCAGCAGGACAGCCTTCTTTAAATAAAACAAGGGATATAATATCAAGATTTAAATTAAGGGAAAATTAGAATTGCCCATTCAAAATCCAGATTGTACTCCAATGGAGAATTTGTGGTTAGACACACTGTCCATTTGTCAGATTGATCTCTTTTGCAAAAAGAATAGGCAAATAATAAATGCTTGAGGTTTTTATTAATGAAAAAAAAACCTTAAAACTATAAATCTTTTCTCTGGTAAACATGTTTTTCAAATATTTTCATGACACTTTTGTATGAGATCCAAGTATAATGTAGAGAAAACAGTTTGCAACATTATTGAAGAATATAACAGAATAATCGCTCTTGACATTTATCCAATGCCAAAAATCTAATAATGGGACCAAAATGGTGATAGTACTCTCACTAAACATCAATTTACAATCGAACATTCATGCATTTTTATTTCACAGCTACTTATACAAAGTGATATTAACATTACTTAGCAGTGTCTTACAGTTTTACATTACTCCTATCAGTTTATACCAAAACAAGAAAATGAGATTTATTCTAGTCCATTACCTAATGTACCAATTATCGTAAACATTCTCATGACCATTTGGTCGTCGCCTACGCAGTTTTTCTTTCAGTTCCTTCTCTCAGCTCCTCTTCCATAAGCGAAAGTCCTTCATCCTCCAAATAAGGTTCAACATTGATCTTGTCCTGTAGCAACAACTTATTGTTGCATCCCAGCAAACGCAGAGAGAGAAAAAAGTTGTTTTTAGTAGAGAAAGAATGATTGGTGCTTGTTTTCATGCCACCAGAATTTGTTTATTAAGGGGGTGGATGTTCAAGATTACATTTCCATTTTCTGTTTTGGAATTGGTGATAGAACAAGGTGCAAATATACAGTTTGTGCAAATATTAAAAAAGTGTCTTGAGATAGCATGCTGGGGCTAGTTTTATTAAAAATGCTTTTAGTTTTTTAAGTGTTTGTTTCATAAGAGATGCTGTTAAACAAAAAGTCCTGTTATTTACATAATAGTCACAAGCAGACAGACTTTTTATAAAAAAATACACATAAAAATGTGTATTGCTACCCACATTAGGATTTTGTAAGGCTAATTCTAAATCAAACCCCTAATTTTCCAAAGTGATAACCTAATAAGTTGGTCTACAGCATTATGACTGGACTTTGCACCCCAATGACCTTCAAAAATGTTGTTTATTTAAGTTTCTAATGTCTACGTGAGTACACACCGCAGTTGTTGTTCTGTTCACATGGTTTGTGGTTGGATACATTTGTGTAAAAAGTGACAGTACTATTCTCAGTGTTCACAGTTTTCTTTTAAACTGATGCAATGACTTATTTATGTATTACTTTATATATTAACTTATTAGATCTATCATTCCCCAATAAAAAATTACAAGAAAATACAAACTGTCATCACAATATATCTCAAAATAGCATCGCCTGGTCAACTGCAGTTTTGTTACATTACAGCCACAAACTTTAATTGTGTAATGGAATTTGCTTTGGTGGAAGTTTTGTCTTTTAAATAAGAAAAAATAAATATGGTGTGTCATACACACTTTGATTCTGAATCTTGAAATTCTGAATCTTGAAATTCTGAATCTTGAAATAAAATCCAGTGCAAACAAAATTTGCTTTCAATGTCACATAGAAAGAAAATATAATTTTATGAGGAGTGGCAAGAAGAAACCACAAGTTCCATCTGCTGTTTGCCACAAGCAATGCAGGGAACACAGCAAGATGTGCAGGAAGATTTCCTCAGTGGGGTGGAAAACACTGCTCATCACCACAAACATAGCACCTGCCTCCTGGGGGCAGTATCATACTGAGAGTGCTTTCTTCAGCAAGGTCAGGGGAGCTGGTCAAAACTGATGGGAGGTTGGCTTAAGGGAAATAAAAAATATGTGGTCGATTGTGGATTTTTTTTTCAACAGAGGCATATTTAAAACTTATCTCAAAATCAAATTTGGAATTTGATTCAATACTTGGAATCTGAGGGTCACTGAGGATCTCCATCCAGCCTGACAGAAACCAGACTATTTCACAAAGAATGGGCATTGGTTGAAAAACATGACATCTTTGCACTCAAAGTCCAAAAACACTTCAACTGATCTCTAAATTCTCCTTAGGAGTGAGACATGCATGCATGGCTGTTTATCCTGTTTGTCTCTGTGTTGACTGGCTAGCAGCTTGTGCAGGGTGTACCCCACCTCTCGCCTGCCGACCCATAGTGATAGTCACCAGCACCCCTCACAATCGTCCAAAGATAATCAATAGATGTTTAAATTCTGTCTCTGTTCTTAGTAATTCCTTGTAAAACAAGGACCATCCCTAAACTGACAAAATGTGTTTTAAAAGTCATCTGTGCAGTATAGAACAATAAAGTTCACATCAATCTGCTGAATAATTTTAGATAATGAACTACAGAATGTCAAAAGTGATCTAAATTCAATAAACAAGGAGCGAGAATTATAATTTAGCTCAGAATTGGAAACTGTCAGGAGGTTGGAGGTGTGGTAGTCTTTTCGTTTCCTCCTTAAAAAGCATGCAGTGTGGAGAAGGTATACATGTGCCAGTGCCGTTTTGCTCTAAAAATACTACCTCAAGATGGCATCTTAATTGTCTGACTGATTTTATTTAATCAAAACTGGGTCTGGCATCACATCTTATCAATGAATTCGGGACCTGTGTTTGTCTCACCGTCATCTATTTGACTCCTGTGCGTGCTTGTGTGGGTTTACGGTGAGATGGGTAGAAACCATGCAACACTCAGTGCCTAAAAGCAGCAAAGGGCATGTAGCTTCAACCGCCAAAAAACAGCTGTGACTCATAATCTAACTTTAGCATCCTACGTTGCATTTCTGTTTTACAGTGCTTACAATGCATACAATGCAGGCAATACTCAATGAAGAGGGGCTTTTGTATTTACTTCTGCCGACCCCATCATTATGCATCCCTGTAAGGCGAGCTACGTTATAACTGGCACAAATTATTACTGAAAAAAGTTACATGTCAGGGTTTATGCTAGTTTTCAGCTTATTTCCTTTCCAGCTTGTTTTCTAGGTCTTATAACCCCACCTCCTCCACACAAATAGCTGCCAAAAAGATGACAGTTTCAGTATATAATGGGTCAGCGTCAATGACCTAAATGCCACTTTACTAGCAGTATTTTTTTTTTACTTTATTGATGACATGTTGGACTTCATATTATCAGCTATTTTCAACAGTGTTCCCTTCCTCATACAGGCAAAATGATCTAAGAAATTCAACAACATAAAATTATTTTTGCAATATAAACCAAACTTTTACTTTGATGAACAGTTGTTTTGCAAAATTGCTCACCTTACCCAAGTGCCATAAAATCAAATACCTTCTGAAGCTCTGACTTTAAGCACTTTATTTTCTACTTTAGTGAAAGCAGTTCATCCACCACCATTAAGATCTGATAGTTATCAGAAAATCTCAAAAATCTGAGCTACTGCTGCTGCTCTTATCTCACACCAGTGTAATTATGAAGCATGTTGTGCTATAAGAGAGTTGAGTAACAATGAAGACAAGAAAAGATGAAGAGTGGGTGCTGCGAATGAGTAGGCATCAGTTTTATTCTGATTTGAATCTTAAGATCACAAAGTTATACTTTTGATATCATGACAAGCTTGAGTCAGTTAAAAAAATAATATTTATTTACAATTTTACATTAGTTATAAAAATATTAAATAAACTCAAACAAAAGTCAAACAACAGATTTGTAATTTTCTCAAACTGAGGTACATTGTAAGGTTTAAATTTGATGAAACTCAAACAGCTTAAGATGACAGATCGAGCTCTTGCGTCTCAATAGAAGCATCAGTGTCAGTGAAGTTTATTTTTGTTGGGCTGCCTTTTTGATCTTGACTGTTGTTGCCCGTAGTTCTTGCCATCCAGAAAAGCCATGCTAGTTTTTGTCCACATATTGAAGGGACTGGCACAGATTCTTATAGAATGGATTGTTGTGAATCTGTTGGAGAAAAAAACAAAGAACATATGAGAATCAGAAGACATAAACCTTCTGTCCTTAGAGATATATGTAGAAGAAACAATAATGAATATCACTGAAAAAAAGACGTGTAAAATAATCCAACCCAGAAGTAGATTGTTCTGACTTACACAACTGCTGGTGGATTGCATGATGATTTATCTTCTTGGTAGTAGCTCCTCAGTGATTCTCGATGAACTTTTGTGCCGGTGTATTTCAGACAGCAGGATGAGATGCCACCTTAAGAAAGGAAAAACAGACAAGAGTAAACGACACTTGCCATAAATCATTAAAAATACACAAAATGCAGGCTAAAAACAACACAACTTCTTGAAGTCTGCACTTCGCTTACCTTGTGCTGAGGCTGTCGGTACCATCATGGCTACCAATACAAGCGAGATGAGGGGGATACTCGTCATGATGTTCTCTCCAGGTCAGACTGATGGAATGTGATGTGAAGCCGGTGCCTTGAGCCGTTTTAAAGACCACCAACTCATTTTGCATTCATTCAAACCTCTGCAGTGCAAGGTTTCCGCACCCACAGACACACACACACACGGAAAGTACAAGTAATGCTTCCTCCCACCAAAGCTCACCAGCGCTGTCCTCGCCCCTCCACTCTCCTCACTGGTGGTCTGGAGGTGTGAAGACGTTTTCCACCGTTGTACATCTTTACTTATTCTATTTTTAACTCAGGTTATTTAATGAAAATTACACCTATACTAGTATTGTATACAAATGATGCTATTTATCTATTTAAACTAACATCTTACAGCAGTTGCCAAATATTTACTGAGGATGCAAGGTGACATTTAGCAGTAACAGCTTATTTTTGGTTTTTGCATTGTCTCTTGTTATGGTGACTGTAAGTTGATTTTAGTTTATCTCAAAGAAATCTGGAAATCTGTTTTAAAATTAAAGTCTGGAAAAGATTATACCTTATAGGTAGACACTCAAAATCAAATAGAAGTGAAAATGTTCATTGACTTACACTACTCTACTGAGTTTTTCACTTTCTAACATGGAAGTTTCCTGTTCGGTTTTGAGGTAACTGTTCTCTTGTGCTACTGCTGCTGCTGCTCCGTTCACTTCTGCAACCACACACATGCAGACAGATCAAACTTGCCTTTCCCTTTTGATCTCATGACTTTTACAAGCACCTGGGGCGTTAACAAATTATGCTCAAACAGTTACTCTGTTCCACTGAAACCCACTTGGTTTTGGCCATCATAGCTTTTGTCACGACATCATGAACTTTTGAACTTACGAACAATGAGCATTTGACCACTTTGTTTGAAACAAATAGAAAATCTATCAATCTCATGGCAACAATTTAATTAATGGATATTGATATTGAGATGTAGTGAAGACGGCTTGCTGAAGTTCAAACTGAGCATCGGCGTGAGGGAGAATTTAGATGGCCTTGAATGTGAGTGATTGCTGGTTCCACATTGGCTGTTCTTAGTATTTATAAAAATGTCTAAACCTGCTGAAATGTTCACACTCAGCTATCTGTAGTGGTGGGCCAAAATGTCTTGTTGAAGCCAAAGGAGAATGGTCATACTGCTTTGAACTCGGAATAAAGCAGCAGAGAACACACCACATACGTCTGTCAGCTAAGAACAGGAAACTGAGGCTACAGTTCACAAAGGCTTACCACCACTGAATGACAACTTGGCAAAACTTTTTGCGGTTTCATGTGTCTTGGTTACATCTGCTAAATTTAAATGGCTTGTTCACAATTCCATGTTGTAAGCAACATATAATTATGACTCCGTCCTGCCCACTTCAGTTGTGAGTAAATGAGAATTTGATTTGTAACGTGTTTCAGTTCATTTGAAGGTAATCATGTGTTGTTAATAGCTATAAAACTGATCTGCCTATTTCTTGAACATCATAAAAATTTAATGACCCCCTGGTAGGTGCAGAAAATCACCCACAGAAAACAGCTTGGTTCAAGATCATCATTTTAAATTTTTTAAAGGGGGGTTATTATGTGAAGTGTTTTGAGCTTTATGTAATGTTATGATGTGATTCACTCATCAAAAACATACCAAGAGTGTTGTTTGGATTCTGAGAAATCATTGGATCTTTTGGGATTGCTCTCACCAACATTTAGCAATGTAACAGATTTAGTAGAAAACACAAATAGTACTCAAGTCAAAACACTCCCTACATACTCTTAAACAGTTTAGAGCCTATGTACGGTAGCTTTTTTAATCATTCTACAAATCTACATGTTCAGCAAGTCTCTATAGTGTGAATATTTATGATTTTAAGAGTTTTAATACAGCTGGTTTGTTTCTGCTCACTTCACAGTCACATCATAACATGGAACGAAATAGTATTCCACAATTGCCGAACATTTTACGCTGTGACCCCATACGATAATCTCAAGAAAAGACAGTAGCTGCCCTTGAGTCTCGTGTCGCAAGAAAATAATTTGTCCTCTTGTGTCTAATCTGAGAATGATATTGATCAGGAAAATCCAATGTCGTGCTGAATGTATTTGAGCAGCCAGGAAGGGATTTGGAAATGCAGGTGCTCTGCCAAATGATATTTCACATGATTGTTGAAATGTGAAATGTTCGTTGTTTACATGTGAACTCAAATTCATGCTACCGCGTTAAACAAAACACCACTTTGATTTGAGCAGCTCTGCAATTATGCTGGATTGTTTTGTATAATGTGAATCACAAAATGCTCCATGCTCCACGTAAGTAGTTAATGATTTTTGGATTATCCTGGGATCATGCCATAAAAGTGCCTTCAGTTTGTGATCATTGGGTCAGTATAAGGACTCTGTCAGCAATTATAATCCACTTTATTTTAATCCTCAGGAATCAGGATGCAGTCAAGGACCAAAATCCCGGCCCAGAAAGTAAATCTAACCAATTATAGAGCTATTCTTATAAACAAATTACTTAGGCATTACTTGGACAAAAAGGATCAGTATTTTTTTAGTTTCAGATTGCTCGATGCATAGATAATGGCTGTCTGCAGTACACATGACACATAGCCACAGAGAATATATGAGACAATTTTATCTTTCTCTCCTGCACAGGCAGAAATAAAAAAATATATATATTTCTGCTTAATGTCTAACATGACATTAAGTCTGCAAAGCTTCTGTTGGAGTTATCTCTTCGTCCGTGAAAATGTCTGCTGCTGTCATTTCCTGGCTTTTAAATAACATTCCAAGTGGGAATCTTTGTATGGGTCCATTACATTTAATTGATTTTGTCCTTTCCGTCCTCAATGACAGTTTGTTATTAATGCATGACTTAGTAATAACAACGGGCGCTCTCTTTTTCCTGCCACAAGCTGCTGAGGTCTACAGTGCAATTATTCACTTTGAGATTGCCTCATACTGGAGTAAATTTTTATCCCATTTGGCAGAAAGTTGCATCGGATAAAGATAGTGATAAGAAAGAAGTCATTAGTCGACAGCAATCTGTCTCTATTTGTAAATTTTGCAACCCATAATGAAATGCCTTTTTTTTGTTTGTTTGACTTGGTTTAGGAATTTTAAAAACAACTATATTTCATATCCAAAGTAAGTAGGAGAGAAAGTATATTTTTTATCAAAATTCACTTTCATTTTGGTAAATTTATCGCTTCATGTGAGTCATTTCTCCTTTCCAGAAGGCCTTCAAGAACCTCATATCCGCTAAAATACTGTTATTCAATGATTCCTCTTTCGTACAGTAACTGCTGAGCATTGCATCTGCATGTAAGCGTAAACTAGTGTCATGTACTCTTTCTTCACTTCCCTTTTTTAACATTAGTTTCTGTTCATAATGCAGTTTTGTTAAAAATGTTTATACTAATATATTTGGTTTAGTAATATGGGTAATCTTCTCCAAGAGCATTTTGTTGTAAGTCAAAATTAATTTATGGAGAACTTATAGAAGTAACAGAATAATCTGCCATCAGTGTCCATTCTGGGATGTTAAAGGGTAACGTTTCAGTAAGACAAAGACGTGCCAGCACGGTACAATATGTCAGCTTTGGATTTAGACTATGTCTGGGCGAGGGGAATATTGTAAAACACATCAATTAGCCACCCCTACATTCAGAAACTGAAAAAACAGAAATTGTAATTTGTTAAAAATAAACTTTTGCTGTTTCTGTGAAAAAATTCTGGAACCATTCCAGCGGCCACCAAGAAATCTACAGACAAGATAAAATAAGGTTGAGTGACTGGAAGTGGAAGTGGGAAATTTTCTGTTGTCACAGATCTTTTTTAAGCAAAATTTAAATGAATTTTTTTTTATTATAAAGAATTATAAAAAGTAAACAGAAATCAGCAGGTAAATTGCTACTGAATAGTTAAAATGGAACCTACTCACTTGTAAAAGTGCATCCTTTCATTAGTTCACCAAAATTTACAGTATCATTTAAAATTATGATGAAACAACAGTGGTAATTACTCTCCTATAATCAATTCCACAAAACCCATAAATATATTTCTCAATGATCAAAAGGATGGAAGACCAGACCAAGTTTGCTCAGATTAAGTTATTTTTGAAGCAAAGATCTCTAAAAACATTTAAGGTAAAAAAATAAATAAATAAAAAAGAAAGATGAATGGAAGACTGCATTAGAAACCTGGGTCTTGATTTGCTCAATTTCAGAGACCTGAAAAAGCTGACTAATGGATTAGGCAGGAACAAATGACCAAATATGGACGGATGATGCTCGGAAAGCTGTGGTTTGTGGTCAGAGGTCTTCCTTCCCCCTTCTTTTCCTCTTGTGATGACCATGACTTTCAGTGACAGAATAGAGAAGTAGTACAGTGACCAACATGTGGTGTTTCCCATAAAATATTGATGAAATCAGAAATAATGAACATTTTGTATGATATGATAATGGCTGATGGAAAAGACCACCTGGATGAGATTGTTGAAAAATAAAGACATGAATAGAATCATTAATATAGTGTTGTAGAAAAAAAGTGATTTCCAAGCACTGTTAGATGAAATCATTAAATCAGGTTTATTTGTATATTGTGAGAATACAGAGAGCCTGTAAGACAACCAATAATGAAGAAGTTCTGAAAGAAAAGTTCTACCAGTGGAGTTCAACACATGAGATTTATACCAAGGATAAGGGATCCAAAACATGGGAAAAACAGTCTGGTTTTGGGAAACCACTCCCAAAACCAGTGGGAGTTTTGGGAGTGGGGCTCCCACTCCAACCTTGTGAGTGTAGCGTAAATTGGTTCTTTTGGTGAGAGTTCACAAGAATTTAATATAACATGATCAGTAGATGTTATATTATAATAATTTTTCCACCACAATAATTTCATAAATATCTATCTATCTATCTATCTATCTATCTATCTATCTATCTATCTATCTATCTATCTATCTATCTATCTATCTATCTATCTATCTATCTATCTATCTATCTATCTATCTATCTATCTATCTATCTATCTATCTATCTATCTATCTATCTATCTATCTATCTATCTATCTATCTATCTATCTATCTATCTATCTATCTATCTATCTATCTATCTATCTATCTATCTATCTATCTAT